CGGAGAAGCATGTACGCCAGGAAGTCAGAAGGAAAGGAGCTTCGCAGAGGAAGGTCTTTGGACAACAGGACCGTGTCCAGCAGCTTCGGGAGAGGCTCCACAACCATCATCTTCACTCTGAAAAACGAAGTCGGTGGTCTCATAAAGGCTCTGAAACTTTTCCAGGTGAGGTTTCACTTTCTTTATGTTGACACAGATATGGTTTTCTGAGGATGTGTGTGATCGGAAGCTTTTACAGCATCTTCTTTGGGCGTGTGTGTGTGTGTGTGTGTGTGTGTGTGTGTGTGTGTGTGTGTGTGTGTGTGTGTGCGCGCAGGAAAAACACGTCAACCTCATCCACATCGAGTCCCGAAAGTCCAAACGAAGGAATTCCGACTTTGAGATCTTTGTGGACTGCGACACCGACCACGAGCAGTTCAAGGAGCTCGCCGAGCTGCTCAGGAAGCACACGGACATCGTGGAGATCTCGCCGCTCGACGGCTCCGCTCTACCCGAGGACGGTACACCTGGTCGTACTTTGACTAAACAGAAGCTGTGATAGAGATGGTTATTTCACAGGTCTGCGTGTGTCTTCACTGTGTTTCAGATGTGCCCGGCGTGCCGTGGTTCCCCAAGAAGATCTCAGACTTGGACTTGTGTGTAAACAGGGTTCTGATGTACGGCTCTGAACTTGATGCAGATCATCCGGTATGTGCGTCAGCGGACAGAGCTCTGAAATGAAGCGTGAACTCGGTAACCGACTGAGGTTTTGCTGTTCCTGCAGGGATTTAAGGACAACGTGTACAGAAAACGAAGACAATATTTCTCTGGTTTAGCTAAAAACTACAAACAGTGAGTTCCTCTTACCGATGTTTTCATTAATGAAGCTAATAATTAAAACCTTGAAGGGCTTTCATCCTGTAACTCCGTCTCTCACAGCGGCGAGCCCATCCCTCGCGTGGACTACACTGCAGAGGAGGTGCGTACCTGGGGCGTGGTGTTCAGGGAGCTCCACAAGCTGTACCCGAGCCACGCCTGCAGGGAGTACCTGAAGAACCTCCCCCTGCTGACCAAGTACTGCAAGTACAGCGAGGACAACATCCCCCAGCTGGAGGACGTCTCGCACTTCCTTAAAGGTAACCGTCAACCGTGTTGGTCAAGTTAAAGTGACCATTAACTAATTCCTGATTACGTCTCCAAAAGAGTAATCCCGTTACTCTACTGATTACTTATTTTCAAAAGTAATTAGTTACTTAGTTACTTTTAAAAAACACGATACACAACCTGAATAGGTAATAAAGCAACTTTTATTCTGCATAATCCATCATATAAAACTGAATCTAATGAAAACGTCTCTTTAAAACATGTTTTATTAGTTTGAATCTTTAACTTTATGCATCAAGCAAAAATTAAATCGTATGCAGTCTTTGACTGGAAGATGTGTTTAACATTTAGAGCTATTTTCTGCATATTCCAGCATTTAAAATAAAATCATTGTTTTGTGTTTACACTCTTTCAAATAGATGCAAGTAAAATAAAATCAAAAACTTAGCAGCACTGAGTCCTGTCGCTCTTAAATCTATTTTCACGTATTCAGCAGGAGTGGTGCGGGTGCAGGTGTGTCTCAGCGGTCATGTCAGCATGCTCGGTACTTGCTCAGAAGTTTAAGGTTTCATTTTCCCACACAGAGTGCACAGCAGACGCGAACGTTTGTGTTACTTTGTAAGGAATCAAACTCAAAGTAATGTGAGTACTTCCACGCTTTAAATGCTGCACGGTCGCACTCTCTCCCGCCCTCCATATTGTTGACACGTCTGTTACCACGAA